TTTTGTTTTTTGTTTTTTTGGTTTTTTTTTTTGCTTGTCTCACTCTTTCTAGTTACCAATGCAGAGAAAAGAGGAGAATTACTCCTGGTCAGCAAGAGGATCTCCTTACACTGATGAGCTAAGGATAGGAGCAGTTTAGCTGAAGTGAGTACAAAACCTTTTTCAGCACTATTAAGAAAAGCATATGGGCAAGGAGCAGATACAACATATTTTTGGTTGGGTTTCCTTTGCCAGCACTGTTTTGTCTTTTCTTGCAGACTGATTTCGTTTCCTTCTTAAATGCAACAATTTCAGAATCACCTAAGCATCCTAAGGAGTAGATCCAATGGAAAGTCAGTCAAGCCGACACTCCTGAGTGCCTGTGGTACTTCTGGAAGTTTTCACCAGCAGAAGCTAAGAAAACCCAGAGGAAATGTCTTGACTAGTGACATTTTGAATTTTTCCCATATGTCAACAGCTCTTGCACTGGGGACATGCAGTCTCAGAAGTGCCAGGCAGAATGGAATAATCACTTCCCTTCTGCCTGCTGATTACCCTTTTTCTAAAGCCTCTCAGTGCTTATTTGGCTGCCTTTGTGACAAGGAAACACTGTGGAGTCATGTTTGGTTCTCTGTGTCTTTTTATGCAAAGCTGCTTTCCAGCCCTTCAGTCCCTGGCCTGCACTGCTGCATGGAGTTATTCCACGCCTCATGGGGAAAGTGGCATTTGCCTCTCTAGAATTTCATGGTTCTGTCAGTCCATTTTTACAGCCTGTCTATTTCCCTCTGAGTAGCGGTCTCACTCTCTTTCATGAAAGTTGCTCCCACTGATTTGGTATCATCTGCAGCCTTGCCAGGAGTGAACAGTCTCTCATCACTCTAGTTGTTAATAATCATAATAAATTATGTTTCCCCAGTACTAGTTCCTACGGGATGCCACTGATAAGACTATCAGCTGGACTTCTAACTGTGGATTTCCACTGTTGGAGCCCTGCAAGTTTTCCACCCTCTCATCAACTCAGTCCATAGTTCTCCAGTTTGTTTATGGGGAATCCATAGCCTCTCTGTTCCCCTGTTCCAGTGCTTAACCACTCTCAACAGTGAAGATTGTTTCCCTTATATCTAGTCAGATTTACTTTTTCTGAGACTTTTGATCATTGATTTTTTTTTGCTTTGTACCTCAGAGATGGTCTCCATCTTCCCTATAAATTTACTTTCAATTGTAGCAGAAGATATTAAATCCCTTTCCAACGTCCCTTCTCCAGCATGAAGAAATGCAGCTACATCCATCTTTCCTCACAGACTGTGTTCTCCAGCCATCTATACATCTTCATAACACTCTGCCAAACTTGATGTGGTTGGCACTCTCTCTCCAACAGGGATCCAGAACTGGACAGAACGCTCTACATGCAGGCTCAGGACTGCCAAGTAAAGGGGAATGCTCCCTTAAACCTCCTAGCTATACCTAAGGTGATCTCTACCTCCAAAGCAGAAGAGGCAATGAGAAGGTTCTGCAGGAAATGGGAATTGTGGTATGTCCTGGAGTCCCAGCGTCCCCACCACCTTTTTTGGAGAGCTGGCTGATGTGTAGCCCAGATTTCATTTGGACAATGTGAGCGCTTTTCATTTCTGAAGATGCCAGAACTCAGAGGTAAGAATGTGTGCACGCCCTCAAACTCGCTCTTGTGCGGTGTTTGGAGGCATCTGGTGCTGGATAATCTCGAAGAGTTGCTAAATTGCTGGATCCTGCAGGCTGTGCTACAGTCTAGAAGACTGCTCAGACTGGAAGGTGGCAATCCCCACCCCGTGTGAACAGTACAGGAGTATGGCTGAGGGGACAGGGAGCTCAGAGTCTGGTTTTGACATGCACAGCCCATGCCTGTGGGACTTACGTGGTAGCTGTAAACTCGATTTGGCTGTGTATGACAAATCTTATCTGTATATTGTGGTCTTTCTTGTGAGCAGAACAGCCCCACTGGGGCCCAGATTAGATTTGTATGGGAAGCATAGTCAAAACTAGGCATTTTTCCTTTGGGAAAATATGTGTGCTTTGTGCAGACATCTGTGGGAAAGATAAACAAGTAGAACAGTGATCCATTGGGTGCAAAGAGAAGAGCTAATTAATCATACTGGTTTTGCCTGGAGAGAGTTAATTTCCTAGTAGCTTGCGTGGTGCTGTATTCTGGATTTGTGCTGAAAACAGCATTGACAACACCTCAATGCTTTAGCTATTGCTGGAGAGTCCTTTAAAGCATCATGGCTGTTTCTGCTTCTCACACTGGCCTGCCAGGGAGGAGGCTGGGCATTCACAGGAAGGTGGGAGGAGAAACAGCTGGGACAGCTGAACCCAATGGAAAAAATGGAGATTTGTTAACTTATGACACATGACATTTTGCTCAGCAATAAAAGCTGTGGGGAAAAGCAGGAAGGGTGAATGTTTTCAGTGGCAGCAGGGCCAGAAGTTAGGCTTTGATGATTCTTGTGGGTCCCTTCCAACTCAGCATATTCCATGATTCTATACCTTTTCTTCCCAAGTCACCCCTACATGTGATGGAGCCCTGCTTTCCCGGGGTGGGCTTCCACCTGCCAGCTGAGGAGAAATTGTGAACAAATCGTATAAGCAAATTCTACTTTATTTAATGTGCAGCTTTTGCTTTATTTATTAAACTGTCTTTATGTCAACCCATGAGTTTTCACACTCTTGCCCTTCTGATTCTCTTCTCCATCCCACAGAGAGGAGTAAGAGGGGCTGTGGGGCTTAGTTGGCTACTGGGGTTAAACCACAACATAAATATTTGTGATCAGTTCCATGGACAGCATGTGAAGGATTGGTGCATGATACCGAGTCTTTTTTCTTGCCTGCATTAAGTAGCTTGGACTTCACTTTTCAGTCTATGGGAAAATTCTAAGAACCCTTTTCTTTTAAAAGAACGAAGTTGATAGCTGTTAAAGGAGGGCTGCCACTAAACTGGCATACTGCTGGAGCAAGGCATGAAAAACAAGAGCTGAGTTCTAGCATTAAACATTAAACCAGGAATGGTAATGTTTTTTCAGCAATTTATTGAGTTGTCCCTCCCAGGTACTGGTCGTACCTGGTTTATTACTTTAGATTGGTATTTGTGCATGTTTTTAAAAATAGAATTAATATGAGAATTTTTCTGCTTTTTTTTTTGGGGGGGGGGGGGGGCGGGTAGGGCAGGTGTTCAGCTTTCTTCCTTTTGTTTTTCATTATGTATTCTATGTGGTACCACACTGATACCTTAATAAAATATTCTTACCTCTAATATAGAAGATTGATTGTTGTTTTTAATTAAGAAATCATCAGCTAGCATTTGACAGGCCATTTTCAGCCTCATTACAAATGTGTTCTTGATTAAATTTCAGGTATATTCAATATCCTGTAAATCAGAGAAGACTGCTTTCTCTTTTCTACTTTTCTATAGTAAACATGACAGATATGATGTCAATAGCATGTGCTTAGCATAAAGTACAATAATGGTAATGGGGAGTTGAAAACCATGTAAACCTGCCTCCTCAGAGTGGAACTGAATTCAGTAGCTGCCTCACCTAGAGAGCAGTTAGGAAAGTGTTGTTTGGCACATCTAGAAGATTTCTTCTTATACAGAAAAAAAACCAGGTTGGGAGACCCTAGTCTGTGGTTTTCTCAGGAGTGGGTCTTCAGATTTGGGGAGACGAAGGAAGATGGAAAAGTGCTAGAAATCAAAGCTGAGCAGGGGAACTCAGTGCTGCATGCTGTGTGAAGGAGGTGTCAGTGCAGAGCAAAAATAGATCAAAAAGGTCTGTGTGAGGGTGGGTAGTATGTGTGTCTTAGAAACAAAAGGTGAGACAAAGGGAGTATGTAAGAAGGTTAGAAGTAAGAAACACTCAGTTTTCTCCACATCAACAGAGGTGAAATTATATCTCTAAAAATTAAAGTAAAGTAAAATCAAAACCCGGTGACAGGAAGGATAAAATTCACTAATGGATCTCAAAGGACCTGCCTTAATGCCCTGCCAAATATGGCTTAAAAAGGAAAAAAAAAAAAAAAACAAACAAAAAAAACCCCAAAACACAAACAAACCCCTACAAGAATACATTCTTCTCTTTTGGAAGATGCTGGTCATCTTTCTTCTCTCCACCAAACTGGGTCTACCTCAGTAGTCTGACCTTCTCACTTTAAATGTCTACAGTTGGTTACTTCCCATAGAACATTTCCATGCTGACATCTCCTCTTTCTTCTTTCTTGATAAACCAAGTTTAAGTTAGACTGGCTGGGGTTTGTCTTAAGGTAGTTGAAAGATGCCCTGCACTTTGGTTGTCACTAGAAAGAAGCCCTTTTCTGTGTCTTTTCTCACACCATTATCCGTCTGATGGTGTCTGGGAAAGCACCTAAAAGCCAGGGATAAATACCAGGTAAAAGGTGTACAGGTGACAGTAACTGTCATAGATATCTATTCTTCACTCTGTATTTTTATCTATTTTAGGTCTTACAGAACAACTTGAGGTACCTTGGAAACTGTCTGATGTTCTCTGTAATAATTTTCCTGGTCTGGTCTGGAGTGACTTCTGAAATATTAATAGTACTACTTTACTGCATTCAGGTGATGCTTCAATGTGTTTACCACCTTCAGGCTACCTTCTTCACCCCTTTTACGGAGCCTACTACAATTTCTAAGTGGTGAATATTTTAAATAAGGTTGAACCACCCTGGAATTGATGTTAGTTTTGCTGATGCCTGACTAAAAGGAGTGTACAAGCTGAAAAAACACAAAATTGATTTCACATTTGTTTGCAGCAGGACAACGTAAAATTGCAGTGGATTGGAAACAAAAGGAAATTCTATGTGTAGAAGAAAGAGGCTGGGAGGATGTTTGGCAGTGATGATAATGGAAAAGTTAACTGATGTCAGAAGTGATTACACAGGGGGCTTCTATGCACTATAGCTGCCTCTCTACAACTATATTCAGCACAGGTCAGCAATATCCATTGCCTGATGCCCCCAGCTGCCACTGCATTCTTTCACACTTTTGCAAATGCTGGTTAATGTAACATTTTCCTGCTCTGCTGCTTAAAGGACAGATATCAAAAAGATGGCTAAATTTCCAAAAGGTTCTGATGTGTAATATGGAAATAGTGCCACATGGTAGGCTCAGTACTAATACTATGTCCAGTGCATTTCACTTGAACATGCTTTAATCTGAGAGCTTTTATTCCTGCTCTGTGCTAGAGTTATGTTTTTCCTTTGATCAAAATTAAAATAATGAGAAATGCAAAGCACAGCCTTGGTAGAAATATTAATTCATATTTTTATTAGGACACATAATCCTAAAATACCTGCTCTTTTCTCTATTGAACCAGAATCTTAAACCACACTGTAAATATAGTTAAATTGGTAGGGTTATATTTAATTTTTTCTCATTCCTCCATCTCTTGCCTGCCTGACTCATTACCCTTCTTTAATTTCCCCAGCAAGATAAAACTGAATACCAGAGGTCTGTCAACATCTTCATTTTCAAATGACAAAAACTGAACTGTGCACATGAAAGTCTAATCAACAGAGCTGAGCAGAAATTTTGCAATCCAACATTTTCTCATAAGAAAATGCAGATTTGAACATTTGAACAATAGACAAAGACAGGACAAAAAAAGGTATTTTCATAATGTAAAAAAATTCTATTTAAAAATACTTATGCAGTAATATTTCAATACTTCATTTTGAAACAACTTATAATTTGCTTATTATTTGGGTTAGACATTTAAGGTGTGATCATGATAAAATAGCTCTACAGCATTTCATTTTTATATTTTAAACATTGATTATAAGCTTGGTATTTTCTTTTACAGCTATAGATTCACAGAATGGCTTATGTTGGAAGGGACCTTAAAGATCATCCAGTTCCAACCCTACTGTCCTGGCAGCAGACCATTAGACCAAGTTTCTCAAAGCCCCATCCAGCCTGGCCTTGAACACTTCCAGAGATGAGGCATCCACAACCTCTCTGGGCAGCCTGTTCAACTGCTTCATTACTCTCACAGGGAATATTCTTTTTCCTGAAATCTTATCTAAATTTCTTCTCTTTCTATTCAAAGCCTTTACCTTCTGTCCTATCTCCTCTCCAGCTCTCATGTAAGCCCCTTTTAGTTACTGACAGCTGTAATAATGTCTCCCTGTAGCCTTGTCTTCTCCAGGCTGAACAGCCCCAGCTGTCTCAATGTCTCCTTCACAGGAGAGGAGCTCCAGCCTTCTGATCAACTTAGTGGTCTCCTCTGGACTTGATCTAACAGGTCCATGTCTTTCCAGTGTTGGGAACCCTAGACCTGGATGCAAAACTCCAGGTGTGATTTCACAAGAGCAAAGCAGATGGGGAGAATTGCCTGATGCTGAATATTTTTAAATATGTAGAAATATTCAACATCAGAAATGAAACCTTCTGATGCCTGACATCTGATGATATAAAGAAAAGCTTTGACTAAACAAAAATTAAAGCTCTGAATTCGTATTATGTAGCATTGCAAATGTTTTTCAGTTTCCTTAATTTTAAGCAAATAATCAAACATCACAAAAATAGTGTGAAATATCTTCTGGCACGTCCAGTTTTATTCTGGGCCAGCATTTTTTATTGGTGAAATTTACCAACAGAGCTTCTTGAA